CAACAACAACAACACCAGCAACAGCATCATCGACACTTGGAGAAACGGAACTCGGTCTCGGCCCAGACAGATGACAACATTGGCAGCATCACCAGCACCGTTGGCAAGCGCAGCACTGGCGAGTGCTCCAACATGCGGGAGCGGCGACAGTCGACGGCCTCCAGGCACTACGACAGCGGCAGTCAGACACCCACGGCCAGGCCGAAGTACAGCAGCTCACATCGCAACTCCTCGACGAATATATCCACCTCCCAGTCGGAGCTGAGCAACGTTTGTCCGCACAGCAAGCCCAGCACGCCGGCCGTTATCAAGAGTAAGTAGATGACGGAGAGGAACCAAGTGACTTATAGTAATATGTATTTTTTCACAGCTCCGACCGCCTCGGATAATCGTCGCACCAGCATGGGCGCGGCGCTTAAGTCCAACTTTGTGGTGTCCCAGAGCGATCTCTGGGACACGCACACGCTCTCCCACGCCAAGCAGCGACAGTCGCCCAGGTATGCCAGTCCTCAGCGCTGCACGGAGCACCATGGCCACGTGATGACCTACGACCCGAACACCACTTCGCCCATCCAGCGATCCGTCTCGGAGAAGAATCGCAACAAACATCGACCCAAGCCGCAAAAGGGTACCGTCTGCCAGAGCGAAACGGACAGCGAACGGGAGCGCGATCCTCCACCGCCCAGCAGCCAGCCGTGCATACAGACGAGGAAGATCAGCCGCAACTCCAATATACAGCATGCTGCACATCATCACAGTTCGCCGAATGTGGCGCCGGACAAGCAACGCAAGCAGCGCACCAAGAACGAGAGCTCGACCATTTACGGTGCCAGCTCCGAGACGGAGCTGCTCGAGGGGGAGACAGCCATACTGCCCATATTCCGGAAGCTGCTCACCGAGAAGAGTCCCAACTATCGCGGGCGCAGCGTGGTGGGTCAGAGCTGTCCAAATATATCCATCAAATGCGATATTGTCGAGTACTTGTAGGCGCAGTGCAGGTGCAGGTGGCAGCATTTACATCCTCCTACTGTTAGATCCAATTACACTGTAAAGATTAACTTTATTTTCGCGTTATGCATCTACAACTTAAATATGTGAAGCAGAACACACCATTTTAGTGAATTATTAGCAATGATTAATGATTGATGAGATAGTTGAGAAATAAATTACAATTAAAACGAGAAGGAACGTGTGAGTCGCTTCTGGGGACGCGACTCTACTTATACTACCGTACTCAGTCAGTATATACATTTTTGAGCATATGATTTTTTAGAGTTCTAGAATTAAAAAACATGGACATGGCTCTATCGACTCGGCTATTGATGCTGATCAAGAATATATATACTTTATGGGGTCGGAAACATTTCCTTCTTTGCGTTACACACATCCACTTTTACCACAAATCTAATATACCCCTTAACTCTTTTTTGAGTACGGTATAAAAAGACAGACCGACGGACAGACAGACATGGCTATATCGACTCGGCTATTGATGCTGATCAAGAATATATATACTTTATATACTCTGGGACTCTCAGCCCTAAACAAATAATTTTATCCGATAGATCCATAAATTTTCTACAAGATTGGCAAGTTTTCAGAAGTCCTTTTTATTGGATTATTTACATATTAAGGTTCAAACGAAAACGGCCAAAGCATAAAACGTAATTTGTTGACTAAATGTGACGTCAGTGTTGCTGGTCAACCAAGATACTTCTATGCGTATGTACTTTTGTATACCCTATTTCCTTTAATTGATGTGTTCCTGGTACTGGGCTGACGCATTGCTGGTCGCAGCAGTGGCACTGGCTCCAGCCTTGCTCGTATCCATCTTGTCCTGTGCAGTGTAGTGCGTAGTCCTGGAAGTCCTGTCCGTGGCTGTGCAGTCCTAGTAGTCGGTAGCCGGGTAGCGTCGGTAGTGAAGTTTTTGCAGCCCTAGCTATGCTATCGATACGAACACAATACTATCGATTGTTGTACGTTTACGTCCAGTTGAGGTCCTTACCAATCCTTATCAGAAGCTATAGTTATAGTTATAGTCTCGCTATAACTATCTCATCTCATGAGATCCATCTCAATTGCAATTTATATAAATCTAATTTCTAAATTTATATCGATACTATCGTTTCGGCAACGATCCAGCCCTAGTGAAAGATCCGTTATGATATGTGTTGTGTGTGTGTGATGACGCGGCGCGCCAAAGCGCTTAAACTAGCTTAAACGCTGAAACTAACTACGTACAGAAACTACGTAACGTAACGTTAACTTAGTTAGTAAGTATCTAGTAACAGTAGTTACCGTACCTGCAGTCAAGTGGAGCAACAGACCGACATATTAGCATAGTTACGTGTGTGTGTATGTGTGTGTGCGTTCGCGGACGCGCGCCAAATCGGCTTAAACTCTCTCACCTAAACTCGCTTAAACGCCTAAACTAACTACGCACCATGTAGTATCTACGTACCGTTAACTTAGTTAGTAACGATATAGTACCAGTAAATACCTTACCTGTAGCAACAGCCGGGCATCCCATTTTGAGCATATACGGTGTGTGTGTGGACGCGACGCACCAAAAGCTGTAATAATGAGTAACAGGAGATACGTTAAGTCTTGGTTGGATGACCAGGCCGCCGCCACAGGTAACGACCATGTTGAACATGACCATGATTACGTTCCGGTGCCAGTCAGCGTAATCAAGAATGTAAGTAGCGACGACGACTTCGATGTGACGTCGGGCAGTGGAGATTCGGATGAGGCATCATGCCCGTCCACAGTGACTACGGTTATAAACGTGTACGGCATCCTCCTAAACAGTGGAAATGCGGGCCAGGCGCTGGCTAAAAAAGAAGCGAAAAAACGTAAAGCTCAAAGCGACGCAACAGAGGAAGCTCGTAACGCTTGTGGGAGAGTAACTTTGTACATAATAACATTCACATGACGCTGGGAGACGCCAGATATTTAGAAGCCAACATGCGAAGGGTTTTTCCGCTGGAGCAAGAGGAAAAGTGGTGTGATAGGTTCTATACCTGGTTCACCAACAGGAAAACAAGAGACGCGTGGGCTACTACACGATACCCTCGCTGGATGATCTCAAGTCCTACCTGGCCGAGGATGGGTCCTGTGTGGTGCCCAATTTCACCATTGGACGCGAGGGCTATGGCACTGTGTTCTTTGCCATGGAAATGGACGTGGCTGGACTGAATCTGGATGAGATTGGTAAGTGATTGGGGAGGAGCCAGGCCAGACAAGCATCATCCGCCAAGAACTATTCTCGCTCTCTCTCTGCAGTTTACTTCCGTAACAAGGGGATCATCATTTATCCTGACGATGAGAAGAGGCCGCCTATCAACCAAGGCCTGAATCGTGAGGCACAAGTCACCCTCGAGCAGGTATGGCCCGTGGACAAGACCCAGACCCAGACCCAGCCTGTGCCTGTTGTGAAGGATGTGCAGCGGGAGGGACATCTGCGTTGCGCCTGCTATGCAAACGATACGCGCTTCGTCGAGTATCGCCCAGAGACCGGCAGTTGGGTGTTTTGTGTGAAGCACTTCTCCAAGTACGGCCTGGACGAGGACGATGACAAGATGACGCTCCATTCGTTGCGGCCCAGCGTATACCCGAGGTTCCCCGGCCGGTTCCTCGGCCAGTGACACATCCGCGCGCGCACTCTTCTTCTTCGCCAATTCGTCCTTTGACAGAAAACTGCTTTTTGGTATTTTCGGTATTTTTATGCCGCGTGTGCACTCGCTTTGAACCGATCTGGCAGCCCTAAGTTAAGTTGCAATTAACATTCGTTCATGTAGAAATCATGTCAGAACCATGTACATATTTCACATGAAACTACATACGTATGGAACTGTAGCATTGTGTGCTGTTAACAGCACTTAACAGTGCAATAACATGGATCGTTCTGCTGGTTCCAGACAATAAATGAACCAGCTCAGTTTTAAACTTTTTAACTGAATTTGAAAAAAGTAAAGTAGTTCCTTACCCGTTTCAATGTTACCTTCATAAATATTAACAAGAAACTGCGACAAATGTAGTTTATTTTTTAAATTTTAATATGCAAAGTTGAATGTGACTGACTGACTCTGATGTGGCTCCATCTACTGCAGTGCAATGCGCCGGAAATGATTGTTGAGTGGACCCTCGTCGGAATAGCCGGCAATCTCTTGCGGTATAATGCCAGACTCCTCGACGGAGGTGCACGGACGGCACATGCACTCCAATGGCGCCTTGGTCAGCACCTTCTTGAATTTCCGTTCGCCCGGCTTCACCTTGGGACAGAAGAGCGAAACGGCTGCTTCGCGCTCGCCAGACTCCTGGCAGCACATGCAGGAGCGCTCCATCTGCCAAATTTTGCTGCCCGAGACCTGAGATACGATACCCGGGGAATGGATGTGTTTAGTTTTGTGGTGCCCCCTGAAATGGTGCCTCCGCTCACCTGAATGTAGCTGGCGCAGCGACCCACACAGGCGAATGATGGAATCGGCTTTGGTACGCAGCCAGGATACTGCAGCACATGGATAACTGGCGTCACCTGGCAGTCGTCGCCGAGATGCGTGAGATCTGTAATGGACAGGCAGTTGAGCCACAAGCGATAGCTAACAAATGGGATATACCGTCGTGTGTACCATTGTCGGGTGTGGCCACCGAGTTGTCAGCCTGTGCCGTGCACAGCTTCAGTATGCTGACCAGCACGCAGTACAGTAGAATCAGGACAAACACCTTGTTGTGCTCGTGGCGTATCAAGTGGCGCAACATTTCGGTGACACTGCCTGCCTGCCTGCCTGTGATTCTCCGCTGTAGGAAATGGAAAACGCTGCCTGCCGCCGTTGGTCTTTTATAGAGGTGGCTGGCATGGCTGCTGGCCAGTGGACGCCACTCTAATGGCCGCCTCTGCCGTATCGTATCGTATCGTATGAATTATGGCCTAATAAAGCGCGCACTAACCAAACCTTTTTGCCTAGTAATTGCGTACAAGGAAAAGGCATTTATCCCGCTGTGCCCCCACCGACGTGGGTTAATCATTTATTTCCGTAAATCAGAACCAAGCCAGTAGCATGGGCAGCGCCAACAGCATTACCAGCAATTGCGTCGACTGCTGCCCGCCGTTGCCTTTCCTTTTGCTCAAGTAGTTGGCCAGTCTGTCCAGGCGCATCTCGGCCCATTGCACGTTTTGCTCGACCGTCTCCAGAGCCAGGCTCAGCACAGCTGCCGACTGGCCGAAGAGCAAGTGATTGTCGGCATAGAAATCGCTCAGCAGCTGCAGCTGCTCGCGGCTGGTGAAATAATCCGCCAGATCGCTTATAACCGTGGCAGTCGTTGCCCAGCTGTCCAAGCTGTGCAAAAAGGAAAAAAACAAAACAAAAAACAACTCGTGTAAGCTGCAACAAATATCAGTGTAAGCCCACACTTACGCTTCAGCCAACTGTGTGATGTTCGCGGCCAACATATTGAAAATTGGAGTGATTAAGTCTGGATTCTGTTCGTACATCTGGGCCAGAGCGATGGTCTTTTGGCTGACTGTGCTGCTGTTGGCCAGTATCTCGTTGTGGTAGTGTGCCACATAAGTTCTTGTACAGCTGGCAGCTGCCCAGAGCAGTTCTCGCTCCTTGGCATTGCTTTCTTCCCGATAGAACTGCATCACGCGCTCATAGGGTTCGGAGCGGGCAGCAGCACAGTAAAATGTGTGCCGGTAGTCAGGCGAAGGTTTCTCAAAGTCGTTGGTGAATTTATCCGCCACCAACTGGAGGCAATCGCTGGTCTGGTAGCGACACAGCCAATCCACCAGTTTGTTGCGATTGTAGACATCCAGAACGGTATCGTTGGAGCTCCAGGTGACACCCAGCTTGGCAAATACTCCGGCCGTGATGTCGGCCAGGTACTGCTGGAAGTTTGGCAGCTGATTCGGCGTTAGACGCTTGGCCACGAACTGTAGTCCCTGGTAGGTGGCATACCAGGGCACATAGTCGAGCTCCTGGCTCAGGTACTCCATAAATTTGAACACATCCGCGTAGTCGATGTACCCCACAAGGGCAAAGTTGAAAAGATCGTCGACAATCTGTGCTCGGTTCTCCACGGGCACGCCACTGTGGCTGGCCGCGGACAGGGCCACCTGGAGACTGTTCAGGAGCGGCGTATCGTAGAGCACCCGATAATAGTTGGACTGCTTCAGATTGAGGACGATCCAATCAATGGGCTGCTCCTCGAAGAAGAGCTGCAATATGTCCACCACTCGATGGAGGTAGGTGCTGGGCGTCAGGTTATCAAAGTCGGGCGACAGATTCGTGGCGTAGGTTATGGGCACGGTGTACCTCAGATCGGGATCGCTTCCGTCTGTCCGATTGAGCAGAAAACGCTGCTGCTCCACGTGCACAACATGGTTCTGTCGTGTCGCATTCACTATCAGCATGGGATAGCCAACCTGCTCGGTGAAGTCGTGGAAAAACTGCTCCAGATTGACAAACTGATCCGTGGGCCAGTTATCTATGAGGTGGGCAAACAAATCCTTTGGCTGCGTATTGCCCAAATGGCTGTGGGGAGAGGCAAGTTAGAATGGGCTAGAACGTTCCTCAAGTGCTGGCTGTCACCTACTGCTGCTTCAGGTAATTCCGGATGGCGGTGTCGAAGCTATTGGCACCCATCGCGTTGCGCCACATACGCACAATGCAGGCTCCCTTCGCATAGGCAATGGCGCTGAACTTGTTGCCAATCTGGGCAGGCGTTTGTATGCTCTCCTCCGTGCTGGTCATGGGCTGGCTGCTGTTCACAGCGTCTGTGGCAAAAATGAGCTGCATTTGGCGCACCACAAACTGCTCATCCAAGCGATACTCAGGATATAGCTGCACACATACATATATGGGGTAGGATGGCATTAGAATAGGTTGTTCCATAAGTTAGGAGTGAGTGTCTGCTCGCACCTGATGTGCCATAAAGTACTCGTAGTAGCGGGCAAAGGCCTCGTTCAGCCAGAAGTAGCTCCACCAGGAGAAGGTGACGCTGTCCCCAAACCACATATGGGACGTCTCGTGTGCTATGATGCGTATTGTGAATTCCTTGTCCGACCAGTCATCCGTATAGCCCGGCACCTTGACCAAAACATCGTCGCTTTAATCAAGAGAAACAAAGAGATGTAGAGATTCACTTTACTCTCTCTTACTCGCCTTTGGAACTGGTATTTGCGCACCTGTAGATAATGAGACCCCAGTTCTCCATGCCGTTGTGTGGGAAGCGCGGCGAGGTAGCATACTGCAGGACATCGTTGCCCAGCGAGGCGTACGACTGCTGGAAAAGTGTTTCGTAGGCGGGCACTACGCGCTGTCCCACCTGATAGCTGAACTCCGTGTGGTTGTAAAACTCGGGACGAGTCAACACCGCAAAATCGCTGACATTGCCGCGTGCCGTATACTCGGCGATGATGAAGGCCAGCAGATAGGTGGACATGACGGGTGTGACCTCAAAGTGATCCACAAAGCGATCCTTGCTAAAATCCAATCACATTAATATACTGAGTGAAGTTGAGGGAGGCACTGCGGTACTTACCCCTCCTCTGCTGTAAACAGCAGCTTCGTGTTGCTGATTGCCTCGTAGCCGGAGGGTCTGACTATTTGCAATTGGAACTGTGCCTTGAAGGCGGGCTCATCGAAGCAGGGCAAGACTACGCGGGCATTAAGTCGCTGCATCTGTGTGACGCCCAGCCACTTGGTCTCGCCCGTATGCTGCTCCACGTAGCTGGCCGAGAAGAATCCAGTCATGTCCGTGCGTATTCTACCGGTGTACTTGAAGCCCAGCGTGTACTCTCCATTGCGATCCAATGCCTGAGCTAGTGGCACCGTCAGTTGCTGTGTCGCCTCCTCATAAATCAGCTGACTGATATCAATTGGCTCCACTTGAACTCCGGCCTCGCTGTACGAGTGTAGCCAGCATTCTTCTATGTCGATCGCGGCTTTGTGCAGCGTAATATTTCTCGTACCTCCGATGTGCCCACCACCTGCAGGGTTATGTTGACTTCTCCATTGAAAAGAGTTGGTTCAGCGGCATTGCTGAGCACGCTGATTGTCAAATTATAGAAGGTGGGCACGACACTGCCTGCCAGTCGGTAATCGGCACCAGCACAGGCCCCCAACAGCGCCAGCAGCAATCCAATCAGAGTTCCCCAACTGCGCATGATGACAGACGCTTCAGCACTGAGGAAAAACTCGCGCCCGAACGCTTATCTCAAAAAAAAGTTCCCCGAAAAAAGATGTCGTTAACTGATGTTTCCGATTATGGACAGCTCTACAACATTGATCCGATTAGTCAGGCAGCCAGCCACACCTCTCTCTCATCATTTTTGTGGGCTGCACGAACAGCGATCAGATACGAGTAGATGCTTAAAGCTCTGCTTTTACGTTTACCGTGCGAAATGGAAACACAAATGAATATCTCATTTTAATTGATTGATTGAAATGATATAAATCAATTCAGTCGGCAATACATTTCACAATATGTGTAGATATGAACTTATGACACCCATTCGTTCGATAAAAGATAAAAGCTATCAATGAATGATGGAAATTCGTGTGTATTTATTATTTTATTTTGGCCATCGGTAACTAGCAAGATAAAGCCATAGAAGAATGTAATCATAATCCAGGAAAATAGTTTACTTTACGACTATTTTGTTTAAAGAAATCCCCCAAAAATTGTGTATTGAATCATTAAAATACAAGGGAAATTCAAGTGTATTTATTCTTTTATTTTAGCCATCGGTAACTAGCAAGATAAAGCCATAGAAGAATGTAATTATATTCTAGGAAAATTGTTTACTTTACTGCTATATTTACGATGCTTTGGTTACAGTTAAATTTGTTTAAAGAAGTCCCCCCAAAAGATTGTATATTGAATCATCGGAATACAAAAGAAATCTGTCATTATTCATTCAACTGCAAACTACAAAGGAAATACCAAAAAAGAACCTAAACTATCAGTTATCAGTTATGAGTTAACCTGAAACGTAACAGGCGATCAAAAGTACTGACAAGTTTACAACATCCACGCGAATTTATGACAATCGAATGTTTAGCGATGGCAATAAAAATTCAAGTTCACTGATACGAGTATGTCCCCGCACCATTAAGATGGTTCCTGGAACTGATCATCCAAATACAACACTAACGAGTAGGAGTGCGTGAGTCGCTTCGGTGCACGCGACTCTACTTTTATACCCGAACTCAGTAGTATATAAATTTTTGAGCTTATGATTTATGAAGAATTTTTAAAAATTTATATATTGAAATTTTTTGCTACATCTGTCATCTACATCTACAATGTACACTCTACATCTAAAACAAAGATTCTACATCTTCTCCGCAAATGTCGCACACTGCACAGGGCAGAGTGTGTGCGAGCGAAAAAGAGAATGATCCGATCTGATTCAGATTCGGCAATCCGGTAGATATGGTCATTCTCTACGATACTGCGTTTTGAGTTTTATCGCAGCTTTAAAATTGTGGCTGCCACAGATTTTCGTTCTTTGTGGTGGCGAAAGAGGGCGGGGTGAAATTTTGAAATATACTTGTAGTAGTGCAGTATCACATGAGTCTGGAAACAAAATTTGATTGCTCTAGCTTTTATTGTCTCTGAGAATTAGGCGACAAAGAAGACGGACGGACAGAGGGACGGACATGGCTATAAGACTCGGCCATTGATGCTGGTCAAGAATATATATACTTTATTTGGTCGGAAACGCTTCCATCTCCACTGTTACCACAGCTCTAATATACCCCTGGACTCCCTTTGAGTACGGGTTTAATAATGCTGCTTGCTTATCAGTTGGTAATCGAGGGGGCTTAGTGTCAAAGATGAATATACGAGTATTGTACAATACAAATACAATTTATATCTTATCTGAAAATTAAATTTTTATTGGCTGTGCTAAGTGTACAAATACTTTTATGGGTTGTGTTATGGACTGCACTTGGCACTATTGGGCTAATCTTTTGGATGATATTAAAGTCTAGCCATGGGCCATGGGCTTACTGACGCAACAATGTGGCCAGGGCCACCATGATCATGGTGAGGGCGCTGAAGGCGCTGGCAATGGCGCTGCCGTTGCGCACAGCCAGATAGGCGCGGAAGACGCCCAGCTTGGCCTCGGACCACTGCAGATTCTCCAGGACTGTGACCTCAGCCGCCGTCAGAGTGGCGGCAGCGGTGCCGAACTTGGCGCTGTTGTTCCTGTTGAAGGTCTGCAGATCTTCGTACTGCTTCTGCTCGGTAAAGCGGCTAGCAATGTTCGAGATGACCGTGGCCACCGGCGAATATCCACCCATACTGTGGAGGGAAAACAAATGGCAAAGTTAATGGATGAGAGTCATTGCAGCTATGGCTAGGGGATGCTTACGCTGTGGCCAAGGCCTCAAACTCCTTTGTGACCAGCGCAAAGACTGGGCTGATATTCTCGTTGTTCTCCGTGTAGAGCGTGGCCAGCACCGAGGACTTGTCCTGCAGACGAATCTCGTCCGAGAGCACCAGCTCAAAGACGCGGTTAATCAATGCATCGGTCTTGACGCAGCCAAAGGAGTTCTGCAGCAGCGTCTCCTCGGTGGCGACAGTCTCCGTCTTGAACTTCTGATACAGAGCTTCAAACTCCGCGGCTCCGCCCTCGCGCAGACCCACACAGTAGACCGTAGAGCGAATGTTCTTGGGCACGGTGCTCAGCGAATTGAAGTAGTTCTTGGCTTGACGCACACAGTCGGCACTGCCGTAGCGACAGGCCCAGTTGAGCACCTTTGTGCGCAGATAAATGTCCAGCGCACTGTCGTTGGTCGTTTCGTTGAAGCCGAGCTTCTGGTAGGCCTTCTTGGTAAGGTCCTGAATGTAGCCACCAAAGAGGGTCGTGTCATTGCCCAGCCGAATGGACAGATAGTTGAAGCCGTTGAAGGCCGACGTCCAGGGTATGTAGTTGATCTCCGTCTCCAGGTATTCGAGCACTTCGAGGGCCAGGCCGTAGTGAATGTAACCGGCGCGGGCCAAGTTGAACAGATCATCGACCACTTGGGCACGATTGTTCTCGTGAATGCCTGTCCAATTGGCCGCAAACAGATTGGTCCTAATGGCACGCCAGTTGCTCTCCGTGTAGTTGACGCGATAGTAGCCCGTCTGCTGTACGTTGACAATGATCCAGGTGAGGGGAGTCGAAGTATTGGTGAAGGTGACCGTGGTCGTGCGGCTGGGATTGAGGATAAACTTGGGTGTGGTATTGACAAAGTTGTTGTTCAGGCTGTTCGAGTAGGTGATGGGGATGCTGTACTGCAGACTGGCATTGGCACCGTCGTTCTCCTTCAGCAGGAAGCGCTTCTGGGTAAAGGACACACTGAAGCCATCGGCGGCCAAGTTGGCTGTGACCAGTGGATAGCCCACCTGGGTGGTGAAGCTGTCGAAGATTTCCTGCGAGCTGGCATTAAATCTGCTTGCATTCCAGTTCTGCTGCCAGGACTTGAGCAAATACTCGGGCCTTGCGGATTGGTATGAGCTGTGGGTGACGAAAGGGTTTCCTAAGTAACAAAAACCGGAGGGGGATCCTGGAGCACACTTACTATTCCTTAAGGTACTCCTGTAGGGACTTCTGGAACGACTCGGGACCCATGAGGTGCTCGATCATGCGAATGAATGTGGCGCCCTTGTTGTAGGAGATGCTGTTGAACATGCGGCTGAGATGGGCCGGGGTGTAGGTGTTCTCATCGCTCAACGGATTGGTGGCATTGGTCGAGTCCATGGCCATCACCGACTGTATCTGATCAACCACAAACTGCTTCTCCAGCTCCCATTCGCTCTCCACGAAGGCGGTGCCAAAGTACTGGAAATAGCGTGCGAAACCCTCGTTCAGCCAGGTGTAGCTCCACCACTGGCAGGTGACCAGATCTCCGAACCACATGTGCGCCTGCTCGTGGGCGACCACAGCGGCAATCGATTGGCGCGAGGCCAAAGTGGTGGCCGACTCATCCACCAGCAGACTGCGCTCCCTGTAGGTGAGCAGACCCCAGTTCTCCATGGCACCAGCCGAAAAATCGGGTATCGCAGCCATATCCATCTTGTCGTTGCCCAGCGTGTAGTAGTCCAGGTTCAGGTATTTGCCAATCTCCTGCAGGATCTTGCGACCCACATTGAAGCTGTACTGCGTCTGGGTATAGTATTCGGGACGGGCCAGCACGCCGAACTGTTCGTCCTTGCGGGCCGTGAACTCGGAAATGATGAAGGCCAGAATATAGGTAGACATCTTTGGCGTCGTTGCGTACACATCCTCAAAGTAGCCACTGTGCGGCGGAGGAAGGGTAAAAATAATCGCAAAGGTAAGCACTTGCTCTGCTGAACATGGGGCTGAATAACTTGCCTCTCTGTGCTGGGATTGGATGTCAGCAGGCGGGTGTTGCTGACCGTGTTGAACGTGTAGTGGCGCTTCAGTGTCACATTGAAGGTGGCCTTGAACTGGGGCTCATCGAAGCTGGGGAAGGCGCGTCGGGCGTGATTCGTCTGGAACTGAGTGGAGCCCAGCCATCTGCAAGAATAGATTAGATCCCATTAGATACCATCCAGCCAGCCACACAGATTAGATATGAACGCACTTGGTCACGTTGTTGTCGTCCACATAGGAGCTGCGATAGAAGCCGTGCATATCGTCCTGCATCAGACCCGTGTAGACAAAGTGCAGAATGTAGGCCTGACCGAGCGCCAGATCGGCAACGGTTGTCAGCTGAACAATGTCCGTATCCAGATCGGTTATGTTGACAGCGTTGAATTTGGTGGCCGTGGGAGCGGCCCCATCTGCCGCCGGCTTTGCCCAGTACTCGGAGACCGAGTAGGTGAGATTTTTCGAGTGCAAATGCACGCTCTTTGTGGCCAGCTTCGGTATGACCTCGATCCAGACCTCGCCGTCGAAGGTGAAGCGTTTGGCATCGCTTGCCAGCAGATAGGGACGCAGCGTGATGTTGTAGCTGACAGGAGTGATTTGCTCCGACAGCCGGTAATCGGCGAGCTCCGCCAAGGTGGCTGGCGGCTGAACATTGTCCAGCTTCAGCTGCTGGGTGCCGGCTGAGGCGAGCGACAGGCAGGCTGCCACAAGGACGGCCAGGCGTAGGGCAGACATTTCGACTAAAGGATTAAGGGGTTTCACGGGTGATTCCACGTATCCACAAAAGCCTCGCTGAGCACTCACTTTGATCGGTGACAGTTCACGGGGGCGGGGTCGTGTGGGGTGTTTGTGTGGGGACGACGATAAATCAAGCGCCACTCTGCACGCGATTCGGCAACTAAATGCCGCTACGAATGGGTTCTGGTATATATAGAGAGGCTTTTGGCGACTTTCGTCTATATATCAGCGACTTATCTAAAGCCTTTAACTTTTTATTTGGGCCCAGATAGGGTTCCCCGGCGTATAGATTGGACGGCGATAGCTATGGATAGCTATGGAGCGGCAACATCGCCCCGATAAGGCCCCTCAGGGCGGTGATTTACTTCTTCCGTAATCAGCTACCAATCCATACACTCATCCCACGCCCACGTTGAATCATATGAACCTGCAGCAGTATCAATCTGCCAGATAAGATGATGTCCTAGTGTTTGGCTGCCCAGCTGCATTGCTGTTTGCGCGAGCATCAGGTGTTCAGTTACGGGGAACTGTCCAATCCCTTCCAATCTTATCTGACACACCTGAATGGCATAATTGCTATAATTATACGATGTATTGTCTGCCGTCTCTATCACGAAAAACATTAATTGTTCGGATCTCGGTATGGGTTTCGCCTCTTCATTTTCATATGATCTATAATTACTTAAATATTTAAATACATCACTCTTGGATTATGAAGATTATAAATATCGAATACCCCAAATGTCAGTATTCACATATTATTTTAGCATGACCATCACACGTGTGTCTTTCTTCCACACATACAATAAAATCTCAACAAGCACTCGTCTACAAATGATGACTAAAATACTTTGGATAGCATTTTGAATCAGTCATTGGCCATATCCCCATACAGGGTGGCTATGACGCACCTAACTTTTCATGATAAATCAAAAACTATTGCAAGCGCTGAAAACTCATTTTATTTGAATTTTAAAGAATATTCTTTAGTGCGAAATTTTACATTTTTGTATGCGTTTAAATAGATTTAAGCCAGCGGCACGGCCCCACCCATCGGGAATTTCGTCCTCAATTTATTGCTATTTGGCGGTTAAATTACTGCAACTCATGTTTTTTAGACTTTGGAATATTCCCAGCATAAAACCCAATATGCAGAAGTATAATTGAGTCAGATCCCGAAAAGATAGAGGCCAGTTCAGCCAACAGAAAAACTGATGATATGTACATACATACATATGTTCAACCGATACCGGGTATAAAAATTACTTTTCAAAAGGAGCTTGTAATTTCCCTTTAACTTGCTGCCTTAAAATTAATAAGTGTGAGCGAGATGCATATGTTTAAAATCGACATATGTATGATGTAGATGAGCCAAATGAGTGCAAAATGGCGGCATTCTCTGCGGTGCTTCTGTGCTTCTGTATCGTGGGCTGCAAGTCTGATCATGTTCGATTTTGAGTAGCGTCACTTTAAACAAGTGCAACAGCTATTAATGGCAACCCTGTATTATAATTTATCAAATATAGGTAATTATGTACAGAAGTACCAACACTTAAATTTGTAAAGTGAAATTGTATGGCGATCTTGAAGCAACTTCGAGTATCTGTAGAAGTTCTGCAGCATTTTCCCCTTTAGCTTTAGATAACAATGTATGTACATACATATGTACATATACATATGTACATATTACGCGTACTTTCACTATTTGCTGATAATAATAAATTGTACATATAAAATGAGACTCCCTCGAACTTTTATTAATTAATTTCAACAGCTCCTAAAAAAGCTTAGTAGCTTAACAGTCGTCATACTTCTTTATAACAATTAATCATATACATATGTATGTTTACATATGTACATATGTACAGAAGCAGTATCAAGAGGAATACTTTATTGAAGTGTAAGTGGAACTCGACCATGGACCTTGAAGCAACTTCGAGTATCTGTAGAAGTTGTCCAGCAACAAGCAATAGAAATCGAAGCAACTTGTTGCCATGGCTGGGATTCTTTCTGTGTTGTACGTACATATGTACGAGTAGGTACATATGTACATATGTATATTTATTTATGACACTCTTGGCACGCCACGGGACTTAGCACTGATAGCTGGCAGCGTGGCCAGTGGCAGGGGCAGCGTCAGCGGCAGGGGTGCTGCAAATTTATAAGCTCACAATTCTTATCCGACTGGTTTCTTTTCTTTCAGGCAATTCACGGTCATAAAGTGGCCGAAACCTGCGATTAGTTGTAAATTAAAACAGGAAAATAATTTTCTTATGTAATGGAGTTTTTTTTATTGATGAACATTTCTCATCGAGTGCCAATTACTTATGACTTACAATAGTTGTAGGGACTAGCAGCTAGAAACTAAAACAGCTTGGAGGCCAACAGGCACAGGACCAGGGCCAGGAAGGAGGTGCTCAGGGCAGCGCTGCTGTTGCGGAAGTTGGCTACCCAAGTCATGAGGGGCTCACGGTTAACCTTCAGCCACTCATCGTTGGCAGCCACATTGCTATCGACGCTGGCTTGCAGCGTCACGGGCACGAAGGTGGAGTCCTTGACCAGATCCACCAGCTCCTGCAGCCTCTCCTTCTGCTTGGCGTTCACCACATAGGCGGATATGCCAATGATGTCAGCATAGAGGGGATTGATGCCACCGAAACCGGTGTTCAGAAGGGCATACTCCTCCCAGTGCTCCAGCAGGAAGTCTATCGATGCCAGCAGACCAATCTCGCCGCGCGAATAGGCCGGACTGAGCAGGGTGATGCGCTCCTGGACGCGCAGGCCATTCGTCTCGTCAATGCTGCTCGACACAAACTTCTCCAGCTGAGCGGCATCCTGGGAGCAGCCCAGGGCCGAGATGAGCAGACGGCGTTCGGCCTGGTCATTGGAGTCCATCAGCTTCTCGAACACAAAGTCAAAGATCTGCGACTCGGCCTGCTTGAGGCCATTGCAGTAGACCTGCGACTGCAGATTGGGCTCGACGGGTGTGCCATTATCGACCAGATTCTGCAGCTTCGCCTTGGTCTCCTTCAGGCAGTTCTCGACACCGGCCAGACAGGCGATATTGATGAGCAGATTGCGCGTGTACTTCACCAAGTGCTGCTCCCCGTTCAGATCGTTCACGCCGAACACGTCGAACTGCTTGCTGACCAGCTCGGCCACATAGAACTGGAAGTTCTCGTAGTCGGCATCGCCGCTGAGGTAGCGGTTGAACAGCGAGATCACCGTATTGACCGCCGACCAGGGCGCGTACTGATCCTCCTGGGGCAGGTACGTGAGCAGTGTGAGCAGGGTGTGATGGGGCACACGGCCGCTGGTGGCAAAGCGATACAAATCGCTGACCATCTGGGCGCGATTGCGGGGATCGATTTTGTGCGGACGATCGATCAGTCCAGCGATGATGAGCTCCCAGTTCTGGGTGTCGTAGTTGATGCGATAGTAGCCGGTGGACTTCTTGTTCAGTATGAGCCAATTATCGGCAGCCAGCTGGGCATCCGGGACGCTTATCTGGCTCTGGTTGAGCAGGTAGTGGGTGGCCTCGGTGTTGCGGAAATCGGGATTCGAGGCGTCCACATAGTTGACGGGCACATACCACAGCTTGTCGCTGGTGTAGTCCTTGTCGTTGGTGTACGTCTGCTGCTTGATGGTGAAGGAGCCATTATCGTAGTTGCGCTCCACGGTCAGCAGCGGCACTCCGCCCTGGTTTGTCCAGCTGCCCATCATGTCAGTGACGAGCGCGGGCACCGCGTGGTTCTCTTCCACGGCGGCCAGGGCAATGGCCTCGAACAACTGTGTGGGATTGGCGGCGGAGTATTGGCTGCAGGAGAGAGAATGGTGAGAATTAGTGCTGGCTATGGAATGGGAATAGGATGTGTGTCTGGGTCTTACTTGGCCACCAAGTAGTTGTGCAGACCGCGCTGGAAGACGGTGTTGGTGAGGGCATGACGCCACATGTCCAGCACCGAGCCAGCCTTGGCGTACGAAACCGAGTCATAGAGCAGGCCAATCTCCGAGGGCTTCTGCACGAAGTAGGACATGGGACGGGCATTGGGTGTGGCATCGTTGATCAGAGCGCTCTGGAAGGAGCCGGCATGGAAGAGCTGGAAAATGTCCCATTCCGGATAGGCCTGTGGATTCAATGAATTAATAAATTAATTCCCCATAGTGCCTGGCAATCTGTTGCCACCAAATCCTACCAGATCCACAGCCAGATGCTCGAAGAGCGTGGCGAAACCCTCCTTGAGCCACAGATGGGTCCACCATTCGATGGCCACAAGATCCCCGAACCACATGTGCGCGTCCTCGTGCGCTTCGATGGTGGCAATATTCGTCTGTGTGTTGATCGTCGAGTTCTCCGGATTGTACAGAAGGTACTCCTCGCGATAGGTGGCCAGGCCCCAGTTCTCCATGGCGCCGGCAGCAAAATCGGGAATACCCGCCTGGTCCAGCTTGGGCAGGGCAAACTTGACGCCAAAGTAGTCGGAGAGACGCTTCTCCACCAGCATGCCGGTGGTCAGTGCCCACTCCTGCTCGTGCTCGGTGCCCTTGCGGGAGAAGACGCGCTGTGGCAGGCCATTCAACTCTCCCTCCGAGTAGACAAACTTGGAGACAATGAAGGCCACCAGATAGGAGGGCATATTAAAGGTCGTATTGAAGACAGTAACTCCAGAGCTGCACGGGCGGAGGAGGCATGGGGTCAAGGTTAGCTACAGCAATACACATATCCAATCTAATCAGAGAGGGAGAGAGAGATACCAACCTGGAGGCAGTCTCGTTCTGGGGCATGTTGCTGATGGCATTGTAGGAGGGATCGTGCTTGATGGTGATGGTGAAATTGGCACGCTTCGCGGGCTCATCGTAGCAGGGGAAGGCGTGACGGGCGTCGGTGCTCTCGAACTGGGTGGTGGCCAGGTACTTGGTGTTACCCTCCTCATCCGTGTACGTGGACAGGTAGAAGCCGCCGTTGTCCGTGCGCAGATTTCCCTGGTAGCTGATCTTCAGCAGCCACTTGGTATCCGCCGGGAAGCTCAGACCCGTCTGGCTCAGTGTGAGGAACTCGCGCTCTAGCTCATAGTTATAGACAAGGGTCTGCTCGACGGCTCCCTCGACTCCGAGCTGCTGTATGCTGGCGGTGAAGTTAGCCAGCTGGCGGGCATGCACAACGATCGCCGAAATAGTCTCCAGAATCTCGAGGGTAATCGATACGGTGCCATTGAAGCCAGTCTCGCCAAGGTGCACATTGGTGGACAGGTAGACGTCGTAGTGAAGCGGATTCGTTTCGTTGGGCAGGCGATAGTTGTCCTCGTCGGCGAGTGGCGTCACAGCTGCTCGGAGATTGGGATTCTCCAGGCTCTGCAGCTGCTCGAAGGGCGGAAAGCTGCGCACAACAGCTGCCTGGGTGGCGGTGGCCACCAGCAGGACCAGCAGCATGGACATTATCCCCAACTGAACGCGCGTCATGTTGTCTACGGCACGGCGACAACTTGGCAATAACTAGATGGCAGCCACTGGGCTCCCACTTTTAAGCGAGCGAGCCCTCTCATCGCCACGAACTGGCTATATAAAATGTTATCTTGAGCGGCAGGCCCAATCTAATCATGCTAATCATTTTCTTCTGAGAGAAGTAACAAGCGTTCCACTTCCACACACAGCACCACTCGGCGAGGTCCCGCTATAAACCACAATGGTCGGGCATAAATCAACGATTTGCGATTGCCACAGGATCCATATACTCGTACATCTCTGATAGTTCGTTCTGGCCATGGCACTACACGTATTTGCGATGGTTAGATAATGGTGCAGCACGTCTCACCATTCCAAGCTAGACATGTGTATTGCTTTGCCGATAAGGCTGTCAAGTATTTCGGTGGGCCGCCCTTGTGCTAGCCGTTTTCCAGGGAAAATCGATCCATTCATATCGAAAACTACATCGTAAAGGTTTATCCCCCGCCTGGTAACTACTCTCAACTCAAGTTCATTCAGTAATTCTTTAGTATGGCTTGAGCGCTCTCAGTTACCGCAATAATCTTGAACACATTCTATGGTTCGTCTCAAGAACATTTGGCGACAGAATGGCGCTAATTCAGGGGTACTCTCAGGTAATACATTGGGAATTACACATCAAAGTTGCAAGTTAATCATCAATAAATAAACTCGGTCGACAGCGAACGATTAGACAAGGCAATCAGAAGGAGAATCGGCCAGAGGCCAGACATGGGCTAAGCTAATCTAATCAATTAATATGACAAACAAATCCAACATATTAACACGCCCGATCAAAAATAGCTAAACTAATTTTGAACATTAACTAAAGCCAGATCAGTTTCGTTAAAACGGTTATTGTTAGATTTATTCGCCATTTACCTAACTAAAATAATAAAAAAATCCTTTTTAGATTTTTAAAAGGTTTTTCTAGAGGTTTCTAAGTTTTTGTTTTCAATTGATTGAATGCTCCACCGATGGCGTCACTTGTGGCACGTGAACTTCATAAACTAACCTACATTGACGTTGCTTTAAATATCCAATTGATAATCAAGTTTCGTTTAGGGCGAAACCATGACTAGCGATAGCTATCGGTAAACAGCTATCAAATGGCCATTTGAGCGATTTTATGGCTTCTCAATAACTGAGATAAGACTGATCATGTGGAGCTGTTAAACGTAAACCCATAAAACGGGAATCAACGCAGTTAATCAATTATTTCACAACACAAAATCTTTGCGAACTTTGAGCCCAGCCAAGCGGGTCAAGCCTTCTGCCGGTATTCACCATTTATATCAGTATTTGGTCAATTCGATTGTTGATTCATTAATTAGATTTATTTATGGTTGTACTTGAGCACATGACTAAGACTTAAAATAGCTGCCACAGCAGCAGCGTCAGCGTTGTGGCCAGAATCGTGGCCAGGGATGTCGTCAGGGCAGGACTGCCATTGTCCTTTGTGTGATAGGCGGAGAGCCAAGTGATCAGGGGATCACGATGGACGGCCAGCCAATCGAGATTGGCCTTCACTCGGGTGTCAACGGTGGTGCTAAGATCATCGTTGACATACTCCGGTCCATTGGTCTTCACCTCTTCGACGAGGGCGTTGAGCTAAATGGGTGAGAGAAAATAAATATTATTTAGGGGGAAAGGAAACGATTGCCTTTGAGACACCTACCCTTGTCTGTTGCTTCTCGCTAACCACATAGGTGGCAATGCCACGCAGAGCCAAGTCCACGGGCTTGGTGGATCCATTCAGCTGGGCGTAGTCCCTCCACTTGGACTCGAGGAAATCCAAGCTGGCCGTGAGACCCACCTCGCTCCTCGAGTAGGCGGCATTGAGCAGGGACGTCCGCTCGCTGTCGGTCAGGCCATTGCTCTCATCCAATGAGCTCGAGAGGAATGTCTCCAGCTGCGATGGCACCTGCGAGCAGCCCAACGAAGAGACGAACAGGCTGCGGTCGGTGGCATCGGCAGAGGAGCCCAGATTCTGCAGTACGCGATTGTAGATATCATCCTCCGCCTTGCGCAGGCCGCCGCAGAAGGCCTGTGTCCTGACCGTTGGCTCGATGGGAATGCCATTGAGAAGGAACTGCTTCAGCTTCTGGGCCGACTGCTCGTAGCACGACTCACTGCCCACTTGGCAGGCCAGACTGACCAGCACCACGCGCAGATAGTTGTTCAGATAGTGCTCCCCGGGAATCTCGTTGACGCCCAACCTATTGAAGATGTCGTCGATCTGCTCCACCACGAAATTGCTGAAGTGCGAGTACTGCTCATCGCCGCGCAGATAACGATCGAAGACGGTCAGAATGGTGTTGGCAGTGGACCAGGGCGCGTACTCATTCTCGTTCCTAAGGTACGTCAACAAATCGAAGAGCGTGCTGTGGCCGAGGCGTCCGGTGGTCAGGAAGATGTAGGTGTCGTACAGCAGCTGGGCGCGATTGCGGGCGTGCAGCTTGTACGGTTGATCGGCCAGTACCTGGGCCAGCAGCCGATAGTTCTGGTTGTCGTACAGGATGCGATAGTAGCCCGAACTCTGCTTGTTGAGGAGCAGCCAATCGTCGCTGCCTATCTGCGCATCTGTGATGGCCAGCTCGGAGACATTCAGCAGGTAGTGGGAGGCGCTCGTATTGCGATAGTCCGGGCTGGAGGCAGTGGCAAAGTTGATGGGCACATACCAGGTGTTCTGGTTGGTGGCCTCTTTGTCGGCGACGTAGCGCTGCTGCTTGACGGTGAAGGTGCCAGCGGCATAGTTACGTTCGACAGTCAGCAGGGGATAGCCGGCCTGTTGCGACCAGCTGGAGAAGATGTTGGCCACAGTTGTGGGCAGCGTGAGACCCTGTTCGTTGGCAGCTTCCTGCAGGGATGCAAACAAGTCCCACTCGTCGCAGGAAGTGTATTGGCTAGTTGGGTTAGGGAATAGAAGATGAATCAGCAATGGATATGGGATTCGGTGGGGGTGGGGCACTCACTTCTTGCTCAGATACTTGTTCAGTCCCAGCCGGAAGACGGGGTCTGACCAGGCGTTCTTGAACATGAAGAGCACACTGGCAGGCTTGGCATACGAGAAGGTATTGTAGCGTCCGCTAATCTCAGAGGGCGTCTGCACATAATGTGTCATGGGCGTGGCCGAGGCCAAGGCATCGTTCAGCAGGGCACTGTTGTAGTCGTTCACATGGTAGATCTGATAGGTGTTCCACTCGGGGAAGGCAATGTCGTTGGACTCGTAGGAGAAGAGCGTCGCGAAGCCCTCCTTCAGCCAGAGATAGGTCCACCATTTGATTGAGACCAGATCCCCGAACCACATATGCGCATACTCATGCCCAATGATATTGGCGATGTTCGTCTTGAGGTTGATGGTCGAGTTCTGCTTGTTCCACCACATGTACTGTTCGCGGTACGTGGCCAGGCCCCAGTTCTCCATTGCGCCAGCCGAAAAGTCCGGTATGCCGGCCTGATCCAGCTTGGGCAGTGCGAACGGCACACCGAAGTAGCCAGCCAGACTGGACTCCACCACCAGGCCGGACCAGAGGGCCCACTCCTGCTGATCCTGCTTGCCCTTGCGCGAGAATACCCGCTGGGGCAGGCCGTTCAGCTCGCCGCCCGTCGACTCAAAGTCCGAGATGATGAAGGCCACCAGGTAGGTGGACATCTTGGGCGTGGTCTGGAAGGCGGTAACACCCGAACTGGTGGCCGTCGCATTCACGGGCATATTGCCAATGGCCGTGTACGAGGGATCGTGGTGGATGGTGATGGTGAAGTTGGCTCTCCGCGCCGGCTCATCGTAGCAGGGGAAGGCGTGTCGGGCATTGGTGCTCTCGAACTGCGTAGTGGCCAGATAGCTGCAACATTAAGAGTTAACCCAGTTGCTTACGTCACAGCCCTTTGGCGATCGTTTCACTTACTGCACAACATTGTCATCGTCCGTGTATCTGGATATGTAGAAGCCGCCCATATCGCTGCGCAGGGTGCCATTGTAGAGGATGCTGAGGGTCCAGTTGGTGTTCGCCGCAAAGGTGACAGTTTCCACCTTCGGCGTGAAGTTCAGAAATTCGCGTACCGTATCGGTGGCCACATCCAGCTCAATGGCCACGGGACTGACCGTATCTCTGCTTATGATCGTTGCCGTGAAGTTCGATGTCTGGCGGTAGTGCAGTGTAATGGAACTGGATAGCTCAAGGACTTGCAGATCGATCTTCACGCTGCCGTTGAAGGCCTGCGTGCCATTGTGCACATTGGTCCATAGCTCCACCGTGTACGACTCGGGTGCGGTGTTGTTGGGCAGACGATAGTTGCTCGCAGAGTTGTCGTCCACGCGTGGAGTGCCAACGAATGTCCCCTTAGTCTCCAGTTGGCCGTCGTCCTGCGGAAGGATCAGTCGCGCCTGCAGGCCGACTGCTGCCAGCAGCAGCAGCAGCAGCAGACAGGAGTTATGCAGCCACATTGCCATGTTGGCCGTATCGGAGAATCACTTGATTATTAAGTGGCCGCCGAGCGATCGGCTCTTATTTATGGGCACAGCCGTATCTAATCCTGTGCCAGGCAATCATCGTAAAGATTGCTCTGTCATTGCGCAACACTCGATAAAATAGCTAACTGCTAATACCCCACTAACCAGCCTACGAAAAACAACAACAGCAAACAATTAAGCAGTAAAACTCTCAATTATCGATTTCCTTGGTGCACGTAGAACGGCTCAGCTCGGTGCTCGATTAGTGCACGGTTCTTGTGGAGCATTATTGAGGACACATTCTTGAAATACTCTCAGCATACGAGTAGCTAACCGATTCTGGGTTCAGTTTAGACCTGTATTAAATAGGTGATATTAATTATTGATGGATTATTCAGGCCTGCAGCGTTTAATGGGCTCAATAGATCCACCCTCAGCACGCAGAATAATACTGTGAAATTGTATATTTTACCATAATTTGCCTCGAGTTTTTATGAACATTGTACTTCCTTTGATCCTACCATCTTTAGAGCCAACAACTGGCAATCCTGTGGCAAGTGTGGGTTTCATTTCCCTGGCATTTGTAATTGTCAAGTGCTAAAATAGCTGCCTAAAATATCACGTACACGAATCTGGCCTTAGTTTTATTTACTAGACATAAGACAATAAGTATATTTTGTAGCACTTGATTTATGCAGCAAGTGTTTAATAGCCCACTAAAACCGTCAAACTGTTTGGTTCAGCCTTTAATCATAAATTCATATTAAAATTGCAATGCCGCCTGCAAGGGTATACAAGTATTCATACGAGTTTGCACGAGTATGCACAGCAGAGATGTTGATCGTTTAGCCATTTATTGACGATGACTTGTTGTGATACTGCCTTGCCATGCCATGCCCATATCTATTCCCCACAGCTCTGTCTGGCCCAAAACCCAAAACCCATTAACGCTTATCATTCATCGACGGTGTGGTGGAAAGCTCGCGGTGCTTGATTGATAACATCCGAATGACTTGTTGAATTAGAATTAATTTATTTGTAATTGAGTCTGCCCGTGCTTGAGGCAAACACAATCATTATCATCTATATAGCGATCGATCTATAGATCGTAACGCATTTTGTACCACTTCACTGGCCATAGTCAGGAGGCTCTGTGGCCGATTCGAGCCATTGCCCACACCAAGGGAGGCTGCATGAAGCGCTTCTTTTTGGGCGGACATTTGCGGCACCTCTGCGATCAGCCAGTTGTGGATCTTCCGCTCGTATTTATCGGCAAACACTTCGGTGTTTTGCATCTTCTTGCCCACCAGTCCCGAATCGATGTCGATCAGTGCCTGACCTGCATTGAGGCTCTCTGCCTCCATATATTCAGCTATGTTCTGGCGCAGCATAACAAACTGAAGGGAAATAAAGGTACTTAAGATATGAAAGAGATATGATTGGCTTATCTCTCACCTGTGATCTTTGTTGTCGCGGCACAAACTCGGCTATTTGATTGAAATTCTCCACAAAGTTGGGCGATCTACACAGCAGCTTGTAGTTGCGACCGATGTACTGCCAGATCACAGACCGAGCTTCCATATTCGATTTATACAAATAGGACAGATACATCATGGACTCCGGGTCGCTTAGGATGAGATGCGTCGAGTTCTCGCCCAGCAGCAGCTCCAAGAAGTACAGCAAATGGCTGTGGCTCTGCGTACAGCGCAGCGAGTAGATCATGTCATCGTAGTAGATTGAGCTACGATCGGCCGCCTGCAGCATGCCAATGACCCCATAGAACTCTTTGTCGCTCAGGTAGCGCACGCCCAGGCACAGGATGGTGTCGTACATGGCATAGTATTCGGATTCATTGGTCACATTCACCTTCTGGAAGATGTATTCCTTGGCCAAGGTGCGCGTATAGTCCAGGCACTCTGGCAGATCGGCCAGACAGGCCATTAGCAGAATTTCCTGGCCCGCCTCCAGCGCACTGTTCGATGCCTCGCCGGAGGCTTTGTCGCGAAACAGGCGCCGGAACATGGGCGTGACCAGGTGACGCACAAACTCATTGAACAGCTCCAGCGTGGGGGTGCCAAAGAGATTGCGTCGCACAAAGTCTATGGTGTCGCCCACCTGGTTCCAGGGCAGCAGATCCTCCTCCAGCTCCATGTACTTCAGCATATCCAGCACCACATCGATATCCTCGAGCTCCGTGTGCTCGATCTGTGGCTTCAGGTCCCGGAACAGGGCGGCCCGGTTCACCGGATGGATGAGCGTGTGGTTTAGCCGCAGCTGGCGGGCAATGGCCCGCAGATTGTCGGTGTCGTAGTGGACATGGTAGAAGCCCGTCTGCTGTTTGTTCACGATCAGCCAGTCCCGACCGCTCAGCTGCAGTTTCAGCTCTGCCAGCGAGAGGGACTGCTGCGTCTGGGGCAGTATGAACAGATCGGCTTGTGTGTCCTCGAAGCCGGGCTCCTGGGCAGTGGCAAAGTTCAATGGTATCCACCAGTGCTCGCTCTTGGAGTGTATCGAGCGCTGGCTGAAGGTGATCGTGTCATTCTCGTAATTGCGCGTCACCAGCACAATGGGCATCCACTCGCTGTGCGTCCAGGAGAGCATGATCTCCCGCACCCGGTGCACCCACGGCTGCTGCCGGAAATGCTCATCCTCCAGCAGCTCCGCCTGCAGGTAATCGAACAGGTTCAGCTCGTTGGCCACGCTGTACTTGCTGCAATGAACGAACACAGAAACCCTGGCCCATGAATTCCAATTGAGCGGTCCCAGGAGCAGTCCCACTAGCACTTACTATTTTTCCAGGTAGCGACTTATGCCCCGCACGAAGATTTTCTGCCGGAAGGCGTGGTGGAACATCTTGATGACGCAGGCGGCTCGCTTGTAGGTGATGATATCAAAGATGGCCATAATTTCCTTTTCAGTCTCCACGTAGGAGGTCATCGGCCGGACGTCGAAGAAGCTGTTGTAGCTGTAGGCGCGATCCGCCTCATCCGACACGAACATATCCATCACCTTGTCCTCGGGATAGAGCTAAATATGGCAGGAGATATTGCTAAAATTCATTCTGGGTACTGGGTACTGGCAGCGGGAACTCACCAGATCCGTGATGACATAGGCAAAGTAGGTGGCAAAACCCTCGTTCATCCAGGCATATGACCACCATTCGGGCGACACCAAATTGCCAAACCATTGATGGGCAATCTCGTGGTTCTGCGTGATCTTGTCCTTCACCCGCTTGTGCACATCGCCCGCATCCTGCTGCAGCAGATTGCCCTCCTTGAAGGTGATGAGACCCCAGTTCTCCATTGGCAGCGCCGTAGTTCTTCTTCAGCGCAATGTGATCCAGCTTCTGCAGCGGGTAGCTCACACCGAAATAATCCTCCATGGCGGCCACCGTGCGCACTGCATTCTTGAGCGCACTCTGCCCCTTCTCCTTCGATCTGGGCGAGGAGTAGATGCGCTGCGTGACCCCGCGATACGTCTCCGAAATGTGGCCAAAGTCGGAGATCACAAATGCCACCAAATAGGTAGACATTGGCGGCGTTGCCTCGAACAGTGTCGTCGCCAGTTCACTGCAACGAGGTGGGTAGAAGTAGGTTTAATGCCATGTCCAAGGGAGTTAGGACTTGGAGTTGATAGCGCTTACCCATGTTGCTGCACCTCCTTGACGGGCATATTAGATATGGCCGAGTGGTCGATACCGTGGGTCAGCCGGATGCTGAAGTTCGACTTGAAGCCGGGCTCATCGTAGCAGGGAAAGATCAGACGCGCATAGGTCGGCTCTGATTGCGTGGCAGCCACATATCTGCCAATTGGAAATTGATAATTCAGTAGGTACTTATGGGGAATCATTGGAATTAACAGTCGAGTGTCCAACTGGGTTTTTTCTGGCATATATATGTACATATGTTTGAGCTTTGTACTTCCCATTCCCAGAGCTAAGCGAAAATCAAATATTCCCATTTCGAAGATCATTGAACGCTGAATAAAACCAGTTGCAGCCCGAGGCAGCCGGTATGACATGCTCTGATCTGAAGAGCTTTCCCTCTCTCTCTCTCCCAGAACAATTTTGTATTTTATTGTTCACAAAAATCGACATTGGGCATGGCCCGTAAAATCAAAGTGCGAGTTACAAATCAAAATAAACAAATCTACAAGTAGAATTTGTGAGTTGGGGCGCCCAAACTAAACGGGGTGTGGTGTGCAGGGCGCTGATAAGATTCGGTTCGTAATCACTGCGGGGACAGACTATTGTTGTGATCACAGTCATGACCCATTATGAAGAATTCCCCGGGCACAACTCGCACTTCTTATGCCATGTGGCTGTTGGATTGTTTACATCGTCACCCCGGCAACGCAGCCGGAACGAGTGCACATACTCGTACACAATATATATTCTGATGAGATTCCCCCCGATGGCCGATAGCTGGCCAAATGTTTGATGATAAGCCGCTTTCTGTCTGTGGCAGCGTCAAATTTTAATTAAAACGATGGCACACTGAGAACCAACAGACATCAAACAGATGGGGGATAGAAAATAAAAGTGAGAGCAGCGCCAAAGTATGGTTTTATCTGCGAATTAGGTAAGGCGCGTGCCAACTCTCTAGGATTGCCTTTACTCACACGGTCCGATTGGTCGCCTCATCCACATAGTCCATCCAGTAGAGGCCCATGGGCCGGGATCTCATTATGGCCGTGTAGAGAATCTCCACGCGGTAGCGCTGACCAGCCTCGAAGGCCTGATAGTTCTCGCGTGGATGGATGATGAGGAAAGCGGCCTGGGCATTGTATGTGTGGGTAAGGTCATCGACAACATCGACAGATCCCGACTGTGTCAGCTGGTGCACAGTAATCTGGAAGTCGCTCAGGTTCTTGGCGTGTAGAACTATCTCGTTCGTCGACTGCCTGATCGCTACGTCAATGGTGGCATTTCCGCTGAAGAGCAGATTCCCCAGATGGATGTTGGTTGAGATGTGCAGCTGGTAGTCCAGCGGATATGTCTCGTTGGGCAGCCGCAGCGACCGATCGCGAGTGGGCAGGGACCCACTGACCCCAGACAGGGCTACGGCGGCCACCACCAGCACAAGACCCGTAAAGCCACTCGAAGGCGTAATCATGGCAACGAATCGATGACTGGGACGGGGAATGGGACTGTGACTGTCCACCACGCGTTGGCAACCGAAACTCAACTGAGCGACCGCAGCGATTGCGGGTTCAGGTTATACTCGCACCGTACCCATAGCTAAAGCCTCCCTCCCTCGATAAGATAAGCGGCTTTCGGCTGGCTGATCGATGCGTATAAGAGTGCTGTGCTGGGCACACGATGTGCAAGCAGCCGAGCAAACAATTTCATTCCAGGCCGAGAGCCACTCAAGCGAGCAAGCGAGCAAGCGATGAGTGGTACAGTTGTGGCAGGTCACGGTGCGGTCCTTGGCACACTCACACTCACGCTCACCCTGATGCGGGCTCACTACATTACACCCTCTGCCATTGTTTAAATACCCTTTTTGGAGAGCATATTAATTTGCATTAAAATTCTATAACGAAGAACCCTTTTTTCTCAACCTAAGGGAACTAAAAGTCGCTCAGTTTTGAACGGGTGTTGGATGGAGATTCGGAGACTATTGTCTTGGTTTGGCAAGAACAAACTCACCCCTCATAATAATAGTTTATTATAATAGTAATAGGTAAGTTAGTAATATCTATTTATTGTTCTTAAATGGAAGCATATTTAGTTACAAAATTTGGAGTAATTGCCTACTAAAATATGACCTGCCAATCGTAATATATTCGGCTCTGGAACCCAGCTATCATTTATTCATTTCTCTCTACCGCGCTTAGTTATAAAACAGCGATCCATCGCATAATGCCACAGTCAACGCTTTCCAGTGCAAGTGTCAGCATGTCGCAGTCGAAATCGCTAACGATCGCCCGCTTGGGAATTTATTTGCGTATCTTGGGCTTGGTGGCGGCCCACTTGAACCGAGAGGACAGCACTTGCCAAACGAATGGGGAATATGTGAGTAGAATGCTTCTCTAGCTATGATCTTTATGATCTTAACGCGAGTATTTAGTGCCAGATGCATTCGGACTGCTGCTCGAGGAAATGCATGACATACTTGAATGTCTGCGCCAGGAGGATTGACGAAGGCTTTGCCCTGGATATGCCGTACCTCTCCAACAGTATCTATGACCACGATGTGATGGAGTTTGACAATAAATTTCCCGACACCTTGGACATTGTAACGCTCCCAAATGATCCAAGACGTGCACCACAAGAGGAGCAGGGCAGACAGTGCAAACCTGTCGGTGGACCGGTAAGAGTCGCTGTTGATGTCACCCCTCGAGCACATATGTAGATAACTTTCTTTCTTTACGCATTTTTTTCCCTCAGTGTAATGTCAGTGAGGAGTGCTGCACGAAACGTTGTCACTTCTACATGCACAGGTGTGTCACCTAAAAAGATGTCGAACAATACGAGCAAAAAACTTTAGTTCGAAATATTACGTATATTTATTGTTTAAAAGGTTTGTCACCAAAGCCAATTAAATTATATAATGTATCGCTTAAGCGAGCATAAAATATAAAATTATTGATTATTTTACTGTAAAAAATAATTCTTTAATTTGAATATTAAATAAAAACGAAAACTTTCATTTATTGTGTTTTTTTAGCACGAAATTTGAAGTGTAATTTAAAATACTTTAAAGAAGTTACCTTTCTTTGGGCAAAAGGAAACTAAAACCTGTTACAATAGCTCTTTTTGGGGTGTAACTTTTCCTCTATAGATTTCGATGGCAGACATACATTTTTGAACGTCACTGTACGTCATGTCATTCAGCAGATCTCTCGATGAGGGAGGGATTTTCTGCCGACTGACACGCTGATACGCCTCAAAAAAACACATTTGTCAGATTATGAATACTAAAAAAAACCCAGCATGGGCACGGGCTTTTGCATTAATTTATTGGAATTTATTTTTTTTATTTATCGGCTTATGACTTATCTAGGGCAATATGGTAACCATATAAGTATAGAATTTTTATATCAAATTAGTATCAGCATATATACTACACACAGTATATAATATTGTTGTCATGGATTCATAGACTTCATCTATTTAGTATTTTTTGGCAGGGTCAAAGCTTTCGAACTTGTGACTTTTGCTATCGCAATCGATTCTTGAAACAATTTATATTTTCCATGTAAATACTTCTTGCTGTACGGCCCAAAAACAAGAGCAGTGCAATCGAAATCATGACTCACTATACGTACTCCATGCTCAAGCAAAACCTTAGTGGAGTGGAGCCCTGAAACGTTTTCTTGATATGTACTGTACATTTGTCAGCATAACCTATATATCTACTCCTATCTGTAGCGATATCTGTGTAGGTATCTCAGGCATTGACATTAAATATTGACTTCGACCAATTTCAATTATCTCGAGCGCATCTTGACACAAATGTAACCGGCCAACTTCTCGACTTGGGCAAACAGAAGGGAAGGGGCTGTCCAACAGCTCAAAGCATCGCAGTTAATTAGAGCCGCGGGGTCAGTGAGTCAACAGTGGCAGCGCTTTAAAAGTCTTTCCATTGTCAGTGCACTGCAAGTTGGACACCGTACCACAAATCAGAATGTGGCCCATTATATTTCTGGCCATTGCAGTAAGCGAGACGTGACTTTGGCTCTCCCCATAAAGTTGTCTTCTGCATCTGTCTGTTTTCTTCATAGGCAGTACAGGTGCACGTTCCCGTTGAGTGTCTGCCCCCCGGCAAGGGTTCTATGGATGCCAAAATTCCTTCAATTTCAGCAGCGTCTGGACAACAGATGAATCCACTCAACAGCGAGGACATTACAGTGTTCACCAGCCTGTTCCTAGGCCTATTCAAAGGGATAGGCGATTGGCGGAATCAGGTGGCTGCCGAAACCGTGCAGAGTGTATGGCAGAGTCCACCAATTGTGGGGCTCAGTCACCGCCTCTTCGCCACCTAGCGGCAGTGGTGGCCTCTTGTTATTCAATCCGCATAAGTTTCTCGCTGAACAAACAATAATAATAAAAACGACATGCTTAAAAACAAATTACAGACTTCTGTTGCGTCTGGTTTTGGTTTCGTTCATCCGCTAAATGGAGCTGTGGGTATAAAAAGAAACGCGCAGCCCGGTTGCATTAGTCGAACAATCTACATGAATGCTACCGGTTTAAATTTGCTGATGGTACTGGCATTGTCGCTGGGCATAATCCTCATGGGACCTACGAGTTGTACGCCCGTGTTCGATGAGCTGGATTCACCGTCGATCATCAAGGATGGTGGCGGCTTAGCGGCGTTTGCTTACACCCGAAAAAAACAACCACAAAAAGAAGCCGGGAGAAGACTCATGATGCCTCCCACAAAAAATTTGACATATGTAAGAATATTATTTTTATTAACTAAACAATTAATGATTAAGCTATGGTTCTCTCACCTGATTAATAGCATCAGCGTATTATGTGGGCCGACAACTGCGTGCCACTGGGAATGCTGTGCAAATATCCTGAACAGTGCTGCACGAAAGTGTGTCTGGTGGCTACAAGGCGATGTGCCATCTTCTGATTTTGCGACATACGAAAAAACCAGAATAAAAACAGATTTTTGTAATGAACAAACTTTAAAATTGAGAATAAAAAAACGATTTGAATTTTACATCTATTTTTCCCCAGTCAGCTGTTTTAAATGGCCAGTCAAATAAATGTTGGGCCACCGTAATAACCAGAATGGAAACAATAAATTAAATTTTAAAGCTCTAAATTGAACTTAAACATACGGCATGCAGCTAAGAAAACTTATGTACATATATCTCAGACATCTGGGTGTGCCATCTGTGGATTGGGAACCTGCTGTTGTGTCTGATTTTGCTGTATTTTGGCTCCAGAATGGCAGTGTATATAAAGAAGCCAGTCTAGATAGTTTGAGCAGTCAATCATTTAACATGAATTCAGTCGTCGCTCTCTTGATACTGAGTCTGGCCCTGGCTCACTTCGGAGCAAGCAGCGCAAATTCGCATACCAGGATGAATGCCCGCAAGCTTTTTCAATGGCAAAGAAACCAGAGAGAGATGCCATTGTCCAAAAATTTGACACTTGTAGGAATCGAATGGAACGTTAAACTACGTTCACAAATTTTGTAATGATATATCTTATTAATCTTATTAATAGCACGAGCGTATTGAGTGGAGCGACAACTGTGAGCCACTAGGAGCGGCTTGCAAATTGGCTGAACAGTGCTGCACCAAAGTGTGTCTGGTGTCATCTAGGCAATGTGGTATAAATGCAAAATAAGTCAACCCATTTCAAAGAGATAAATAAATAAATAATAAATAAAACATAAATAAAATAATAAATAAATAATAAATTAAACATAAATAAAATAATAAATAAAAAATAAATAAAATAATAAATAAATATAAACCATGAATAGAGTTCTTTTAATTAATTTTTTTTGGTTCCTCTAAGCTCTGAGGAATATCTGGCGAAGAATCATTAGACAACTTTGCCGACTAATAGTTCTTATAGTGCCAAAACTCTCCAATCTACAACGGTGTTGACGGTTGATTCTGATTAAACATATCTGCACTTTAAAGGGTATGTTTCCCCTGCACTATCGGGAATGTTGGAAACCGCTGTTGGGTCTGGTTTTGATTTTGGTCAGAACAGACCCGGACTGGAGCTATATATATAAAGCAGCCGGACGAGCCAGTTTCATTAGTAAAACAATCGACATGAATTCCACCAGTTTGCTGTTGCTAATGGGTCTGGTCCTGCCTCTGGCACTGATCCTCATTCGATCTACGAGCGGTGTTCCCGTTTTCGATGATCTGGATTCACTTTCAGTCATCAAGGAAGTAGGCGGATTGGCGGAGTTTGCTTTCGCGCATAGGAAACCCCAAAGACAGATGCCACTGTCCAAAAATATGACACGTGTAAGTATGATAGAGATAACGGATTACAGCTTACAGCTAAGGAATCGATCGTTCCTCCTTTTACTAATAGCAAAAACGCATTGAATGGGTGAGGAATTGCGAGCTTTTTGGAGAGGCGTGTGAACTGGCTGAACAATGCTGTACGAGGATATGTCTGGTGTCTACCAGGGAATGCGGTGCCCCAGCAATCCCAGATATTCCTCAGTAGCTTTGGGCAGCCATATTTATGGCTCAAGAATGATATATACATATACATATAATAGAAGCTGTTAGCCAGACGGATATGACTACACCGATGCGTTGAAGAAAAATAAAAAAAATATAAAAAAAAGAAAGAAAAATTATAGAAAAATAAACTTATGAATTTGATAAACAAATAGGCGTTCGAAACAGCTGCAGTAAGAAAACACATGAGTGTCTGCTTTTGTCTTTGAGAGCCACCACAATGGATATCTACGAGTATATAAAGTCTTGGAAATTATTCAAACATTCAAAATGAACTCTACCGTCTCACGCTTAGCACTAGGTCTGGCTGTTGCTCTGGTTCTAGTCTACACTGAAGCCACAAACGGTGCTGCCGTGATGGATGAGCAGGAGACGCCATCGTTGGTCAAGAACTCGGACATATCGGCGCAGTTGGGCATTGACATGAAATACACCGGTCGTCGTATCACTTTAATGCCACTAAGCCAAAATTTGACACAAGTAAGAATTGAATTGAATTAAATTGAATTGAATGTTGGTTAACAATTGAACTAAGCGTCGTCCCTCTGTCTATTACTAGGAACAACGTATTGAATATTCCGAAGCCTGTGTGGGGGTCGGCCTCGAGTGCTACCTGGCCGAGCAATGTTGCACAAAGATGTGCCTCAAATTTTCCAAGCGCTGCACTTATAAATCTCCAAATTTAAGTTAATACGAGAACTTCAAAAATATACAAATACAATACATATAATGAATGCATAAGAAACTTTATAGTCTTGCTTTTGTTGGGGTGTGCAACAATTACAGCTGCAGAAATTTATCTGCTCTACATCTATACCTATAATATATGTACATATAGTGCAACCATTGTGGACCATAATTAGTCAGCAACTATTCGCGAGATAGTCGCATCTTGTAATTCAAGTCGCAAATGTTTTTCGCTAAATAAACATATTGTTGATTCCAGTCTTGGTTTGTAAGGATACCGAATGGTGTATAAAAAGGGGCACGACTGGGATTTCTATCAGTGAAGCTTTCAACATGAATTCTATCGCTACACTCGTGCTACTGTTGTTGCCGTTTGGAATGGAACTAATTCCTATTAAAAAAACAAACCATTTTTCTGTGCCAAGGAGAACAAACTCATCTCGTAGAGCGCAAGTTCACAACAGCACAACCACGGCTTCCGTTCTTAGGAGCAGCACTCCCACTCCCACGCCCACACCCACGCCCACTCCCACTCCCACTCCCGAATTGAACTCCACTTCCACTACTACTACTACAACGAGTTCGTTTATTTATTATGAGCTCATGCCATTACTCACAAATCTGACACAGGTAGGCATCGAAGGAAGAACTTTTCCAAGATAACGTTTATTCAAATGTTTTGCTTGCAGGAAGATCGCCTAGAATATCATGCAAACTGTGCATCGTATGGAAAGCCTTGCAACGCAGCCGAGAATTGTTGCAACAAAAAATGTGCGTTTGAGACAAAGACTTGCATTCCCAACTTAATGGCTTATGGTTATTTTTTATCGTTTTAAGCTTTAAAATATTCTAAATAGAAAAATAATAATATCTGCTCTATGCAGCTGCTGCCATCTGGTGGATCTACATATAGTTTGTCTTTTGTTGCCGCTAATGCCCATAGTGCAACCCTAGTCAGTCTTGTAATTTAAGCCGCAAATGTTTTTCGCTAAAAACACATAAAGAAAACAATTTGCTTTAGAAACTCCATTATTGATATTAGTATTCTCTTTTGCAAGGATACAGCTACAGCATGTTGTATAAAAAGGTGCACGAGTGGGTGGTTTCATCAGTCAAACTTTCAACATGAATTCAGTAGTTACACCCGTGGTACTGGGCTTGGCCCTTGGCTTATGTCTAAGGCTAATTGAAACTTCGAGCATTTTGTCTTTTCCCAATATAGCGGCGCGGCTTCCACTCACTAATCTCAGTACCCAGAAGGTGAACCAGACGAGACCGTATGTCTTTGATCATCCTATGCCATTGCTCACAAATCTCACACAGGTAGCAGTCGAATGTGAAACTATTCTAAGATTGTTCGACATGATAATGAGTGTTCAAACGTTTCGTTTACAGGATGATCGCCTAGACTATCACGCAAACTGTTCATCGTCTGGAAAGCCTTGCAGCGTAGCCGAACATTGTTGCAACAAAAAATGTCTATCTGAGGCAAAGAAGTGCAAGTCCACAGCATTAGAAAATTCCTATCATTCTCTTAGTTAAAGTACTCGTATTTTAAATAAAAATAAATAACTGCAAGAACATTGAAAACATACAAATTTTTTAATGTACTAAGTAGGTTAGGTTAGGTTTATAGGGCTGCACATTGTGATGCCCACACTCGTCACGGGATAATGTCCGGTGCCTAGGGAGGTTTCGCGAACCATCCCGAGGCCTCTATATAGAGGCCTCTCTAGAGGTATGTTTGCCAGACTGTCCAGGTCCTCGTAGAAGGCGCCGCCGAGTATTCGGTGACGCCTCCCCATAAGTGCAGGACAGTGGCAGAGAAGGTGCTGGTATTAAGTAGGTAGAATTTTCCAAAAAATCCGAACTAGGACGCAAAGGGTTATAAATGGAATTGTACACCTTTCACAGTATTTTTGATTCGTGGCGATAGAATGGATATATGTAAGCTGAAGATGTAGCGAACCACAATGGAAGTTTTCCAGCACTTTTATCGTTTCTTCAACTTTGCCACACATTTTTTTGTTTTTATTTTTTGTATGGTATAATTATATATTTAGACAAACGTTCTTTAGTGGCAATTACGCTCAACAAAATAAGCTACTTATGTATATATATAAGCTGCTGTAACCTGGGGGTTTTAACAGCGTTGTTGCTCTGTACGAGAAATCATTGAAATGGAAGTGTACGAGCCGCGTCATTTGTGAACTGAACCTTTAGATCTTCCATCAGTTGATATTCTTCACAGTCAGTCTTCTGAGCAGCGTGAATTACGTAGCTGCTTCAATGATGTCGAATTTATAACTATTACAGACAACATCTTCCCCATTGTATTCTGCCGGCTAGCGAAGCAGTCACCGCCTCTTTCAATCATGTAATTAAAACCGCATATGTTTTTGGTGCTAAACAGATAGAAAACAATGTGATTAAAACCGAAAGCTGTGTTGCATTTGGTCTTGTTTAGTTGAACAACAGAATGGAGGTGTATATAAAGGTGCCCGACTGAATGGTTCAATCAGTTCAACATTAAACATGACTTCCGTCGTCTCACTCGTTTTACTGGGTCTTGCCCTGGTTCTGGGCATAATTCTTATGGAAAACACAAGCAATGCTCTCGTTCGAAATAGACATTTGCGCTTCAAAGATTCGTGGAGTCGCACCGATGGACCTAGCATGGTCAGATCGAAGCCATTCACCAAAAATCTGACCCGAGAGGTAATTACATCGGTGGTATGTTATTTTAAACGTTACCCAATGATCTGTATGTATTTCGTTGGCAGGATGAGGATGATCCGCAAGTGCATGTGCAATGTCGTGCCAACGGAAAGGCTTGCACCGACGACGACCAGTGCTGCACCAATGTATGTCTACACTTCAGGCGGTGCTCCCCATCAAGTCTGGTTGACTATTAGGTTCATACACGGCACCCAACCAGACCAAATAATTGCGGTTTGAAGTTAAAAATATTACGAAAAATATTATTTGGTTTATTTGCCAATTCGCATTAATTGAGGCTTGTATTTTGGGCTAGCTGTGTAGAAACTGTTAAACTTGATTGGGGCTTGTTTAATAATGGGGCATGCAACTGTGACAACTGCAATGCCTCATCCTGCAATGCATCATCTGCACGAATGCATCATCTGGTTAGTCATTCAATCGTCTGGCAATAATAAACTGTATCAAATGACAAACCCATCACACATCAACAACGCGCACCCTTCCAGCCACACTCCACTCCCCACACCATCTCAGTCGTCGTGGGTAAAGTGAAGTGAGGTGAGGTGTGGTGTTTGACTGCACACAATCAACTTACATCTGTTTGTGTTTGTCGGCAGGCAGCAAAAGAGACAGACAGAGACAGACACAGAGAGAGAGAGAGAGAGAGACAGAGAGGGACCGACCGAGAGACACATAAACAATATTTCCGCATATAGCTCTGGGAAAACGAGTAGATGTAGGTAGTATTCAGCAGACAATGCCACAATGCGGCATCAATGTAAATTGTACACTCATAGACATTTCCATTGACACGAATGCGATACACATGCATCTGTGTGTGTGTGTGTGTGTGTGTTGGTCTCCAAGTGATCCTTTCCCCTTTAAGCCCCTGCCACACACCAACATCGAATCATACAAAGGCGCACACAATGAATTTAGACAGCAATTGTTCGGTTTTCTTGTTGTGTTAGCTGGCTGGCTCCTTTGTTGTTGTCACGCGCTCTATCGCTATGCCGACCCCACACAGCCCCCCCCACCTGTGTGTGTGTCAAGAAAAATAATTCTGCAGTTCTTATGGGATCAACAGTACATGAAACCCAATCTTCCATTGAAAGAATGTTGAGCCTGCGACGCTAGGAAACTTTCATTTGATTTTCAATTTTTCCCTAAGCTCCTGAAAGTATGCAGCTCCAAATGTGCCCCTTTTCACACGTTTTAAATGCGTTTTAAACGGTTTCTGCTGACCCTCTTGGCACACGAGTCTTTCTGTGTATTCTGCTGTAATGGGACCTAAATAGTATATTTTTACGACCTGCCCCTGTGCCGGATCTAGCTTGGGCCCAACTTTTTGGTGGCTGCTCCAATGGTTGGGGCAGCACGTGCCAAATCCCGCGGGGTTTGAATGGAATTCGCATTCATAGTTGAGCTGAATATATGTATGTAGAGGGATCATATGCATATATATATCTAATATGCAGCAAGGCATGTATACCAAGGGTCTGTATCCATTTGCAATTGATTTTTCTTGAATTTTTGGTTGTGGCATCAAAAAGGGGACGACCGTGCAACACTTACGCCGGCTTCTTGCTTATTATTTTTCGCAGGCTACACTCCAGGCTCTCCTCTCCTCTCATCACCACTTTCCAACTTCCTCCACCTCCGTCAGTGAGAGGAAGACATCAAAAACTGCGGAACCGGAAGATATTCGAGGCATGCAGCCACTCCCTGCCCCTGCCTCCGCTGATAAGAGATGTTGCCTTGATGAAGTTTGGCGGCAATGGGCAGGAAATCACTTTCGCTTGCCAAAAAAAAAAAAAGGAGAGGAAAATCGATTGCTTTTGGCCATCAGAGAGCGCTTCAGACATATGCAGATTCATTGGCTCGAATGTACATATGCAGCGGCAAATGAAACGCGACCAATTTGTCATCTGCCATCCGCCAAAGAGCTTTACTTCACCCCTCATTGGGCACTGCCTTTGACAGCGTCTTCTGGCAACGCTTCTCTTCAACGCTTTATGCGGAATTACATAATGCAAGCAGGTTGGTGCCGTTGCTGGTGCTGGTGTGTGTGTGTGTGTGTTTGTAGGCGCGTAAAACTTTTACATTGCACGTGTCGGCAGACACTTAAATGTCGAATGAATTATTCCGCATGCCACGGCCAGGCTGCAAACTTTTATTGCTCTCAGGAATGAGAAGGCACTGTGCTCGAACACCTGCCCTGAGATTGCATAATAAGTTAAAGCAATCCGCCATCTCCCAGATCAGATGTTTAATTGTACTTTTTCCAACAGAATCTCGTATCCTGCCCACGCGAGTCTTCCCGGAAGCTCCAGCACTGGGAGTGCATTGCTCTGGCCACACACTGCAGCGTGCACCGGACACGGGGAACGGGGCGTATACTGAATACTGTGGAGTGGCCAACTGACTTTATTGGCTGACTTATCAGTAATGACCTTCCCTGGTGGCTCTCAGACGCACATTCGAGAGCCAAAGGCTTATGAAATGAAAATAAATAAATATGGTGAAGAGTTACAGAATGAGTTCGAATACGGAATGCTCTGCAGTCAGTCAGCTTGTGTTCCCAGCTCGAATTAAAGTATGTAAATTCTTGATTGTATTTAAATATGGGGGATTTAGGGGATCAGAATATCCTTTTTATGAATGAAAATACCTCCGCACAAAAGGATATCGCTTTGGAGCTAGTCAAGCACATAGGAAAAGTGGATTTACCCTCCCAAAGGAGGGAAGTATTTACAGCCTGAAAGGTATTTCTTTTTTGTGAGCCCCGCATATGTTTATATTTGCATTTGTGGTTGACAGGGGACAGGCTTGTGGCACGTGCCCCTGTGTGTGTGTCCTATCCGGCACAGGCCGTGAAATTGATTTTAAATGTGACGCTGCCTACCGTGTCAAAGGACAGGGCAAACAGTCCACGGTGACGATGATGATGAGGATGATACAAGTACTGATGCTGCCACACGGTGTCGTTGTCCTCGCAGCCAACCGTACCCGTACCCCACCCCCTCGCACCGCACCGCACCGCACGTATGACATCAACTGGCAAGTCGTTAGTGTGGATTTGACTGGCAAAAGAAAAAACCCCACACAAACAACAGCAACAGCAACAGCAAATCAAAGCGAATGTCCGTCCACTTTATGAGACTTTCAACGGGGAGAGCGCAGCGCAGAGAAGAGGCGGAGGCAGAGCCAAAGCTAGAGCCGGAGCCGGAGCCGGAGCCTATGTCTGCTTAAGCATACAAACATTGTCACACTGTCGTCGCAGTGCCCTGTTCCTGTCCCTCTCTGGCGAAAGGAGTGTCCGCTCTTGGCCAGGGCCAGCCTCCCTGGCTTTGGGCACTGAGCAAAACTCAAAACTGGCCTTCCTTTTTTCCAATTGAAAGCGCCGGGCCGGTCCCTTTAACATTTATTTGTCTCAGCATCCGTTTCAGTTTATATTTTCTGTTGTATTGGGTACATTATGCGAGTATAAGTATGTATTTATTTTTTAAGCGCACACGCATATTTGCAAGAACAAGAGAAAGGCGAGTGTGCTTTTGTCAGCCGGCGCGCTTTGATGTGTCGGCGGCCGTTCAATAGGGGATACAGAAGCCAGTACAGCAAACTGGGCGCAAAATTAATAACGCTGACTGTGAAATTTGCATACAAAGGCGGACACAGACAAAGTAATCATAGATACTCGTAGTGAGTGGGGGGAGGCCTAAAGGAGGCCAGCTTTAAAGCGACCTTTGTACGCTTTAAGTGCACGAGGTATGTGTGTGTGTGTGTGTGAGTGGGTGTGTGTGTATGTCCACCATCCCCCAGAACCAGACCCCAAACAAATTTGCATATGTATCGACAAGGTTTTGGATGGCCGCTGAAGCTTCCTTCTCTCATTAAAATGTAATTGCCAATTGAACGTGAGAGGAGGCGAGTCCTTAACTCCCTGATTTGTTCACTTTGCTCTTTGTTCAGCTGCTCTGTTGTCTCGCTTTGTTTTCAGTTGTCGCATTAATTGAATCGCCGAAGCGACAAATGCTTTGTATGCCCACGGGCAGCCTTAGCTGGCCACTTGTCCGCGTAGTGCATACGCACAGAAACATGCTCCATGCCATGCCACTGACCGCAGCGCCGACACTCGTGACACGCCCACATTGGCCCATTGGAATCATTATTATTATCAACGAAAAACTTCAGAGTTCGTGTTGTCAACAGTTGGCATACCCTGTACTGGCACATAACGAGGTTTGGGATTTTCCTGTAGCAGAATTTTGAAGTGAATTATTGCTGGTGGAATTATTTTTAGCTTTCCTTTGGCTATTTACGAGACAGGAGCCATAATTGATTATCGAGTATTCCATAGGTGTAATGCTCGACTATTCGATTCCCTTTCCTGTGATTTGCCCTCTGGGGGTCTGTGCGGTTTGTGTGGGTCAAACATGAAAGAGAGAGACAAACAAAAAAAGAAAACCAAATGCAAAACACAAGTTTCGTTTTTAGTTGGCTGTGTTCGCATACACAGTTGTTGCTTGTAGTGTTTCCATTTCCATTTGAGTTTCCATTTCGCTTCGTTAGTCCAATTCGATGTTTTTTCCTGCTTGACACTTTGCTTGGCCCACATTCGGCTGCTAATTGTTTCAGGAATGGCAAACTAAACCCTGCCAATTGGGGAGGGAATCTTTTTTTTATCCAAAATCGAAGCAGCAGCTTTAAGTATGTCTTAACGGTTTTTTGGAAACTTTGTAATTTCCCTTTTTTAACTGCTCTGAAAAGAGTTCCCCCTCTGTGTAAAAAATATATTACTAATTCAGTTCAAAGGAGATGCAAACTTTGTGGGTATATTGACACTTGACTTCAATCTGTTGCCATCGTTAGGCATAAATATTTAAAATGAATTGTAGCCGCAACGTGTTGAAATCATAAACATACTTCTGCTTGCTTTAACTGTGTCCTAATGTCTAATGAGAATGCCACAAGCAACGGCAGTGGCGGCGGCAACGGCAACGGCAACGGCAACAACAAAACTCAATATGGTGTAAAAGGATTTCCTTGTAGAGAGGCCTTGTCTGGGCGAGTAGGTCTAGGCACTGCACATTAAAAACGTGCAAACACATCCGAAACACCCGCAATATCCACAAAAGGACTGCCAAAGTCCAGGTAAATCCACTCAATGCGCATACGCAGTGTATGTCAGTGTTAGACACTGAAGCGGAAGCCTCTGTGCGGACTGTTTTAATGAAATTATCTGT